CCCCAAAACCCCAAAACCCCAAAACCCCAAAACCCCGTTAGTTTTTCATAAAATAGAAATATTTAGAGCATCATGAGCTATGCAACTGACCACCAAGCCTGGAAACAGAGAGTTCTGATGGAAGACAGAGCCAATAAGAGCCTGAAGAAGTACTCTTGGGGTTAAACGTTTAGGATCAGGATATAAACCCAACCAATAGCTTTTATAAAGAATCCATCAAGAAGTATTACGTTACTACAAACGAGAGGCTCCATGAGTCTCTACAGAGGGTTTTTGGTGAGAAGTTCTTTAAGAATCGGCACCGGATTCCAAATACTAACATGCCTGGTAAGTGTCTTTCTAGTCAAATATTTTAGGTAATAGAAGCAGTAGCTTTAAGCTGATGCCTCCTTCTAATCCAAAACCACCAACCTTCTTTGAACAGGCTTACTTGGGGAAAACAAGGCTAAAGAAGCTGATATCGGAGAGGTCAGCTTCGGTTGCCCGTGTTAATCCCTATTCTTACCAAATTCAAGAAGACGCGATTAGTCGGCATTCCAATGAAGGAAAAATTAGATCAGTTAGTAGAAGAAGTTCTAGATTAGATCCAAATAAAGATCTTGACCAACAGAGCGATACTCAGAAAAGTGTGTATGAGGAGCCACCTGATCAGCTAATCAGAGGCCAGAAGAGTTATCTTAACAAGAGGGCTATTGGAAAAGTCTTTAGGGGGCGTAGCCAAGCGAAGATTTCAAGCCTTCGTAGTCAAACCAGCACGAAGCAGAAAAGACTTGCAAGATTAAGACAGAAGTATGCACATATGCTCAAGCTTGATCGTGACTTTGTCAAGAATACTCTTGATTTAGATGATGATGACCGTGTTAGTGTCAAGAAGGAAGACCAAGAGACTGAAGTTAAATCTGAGCCTGATGTCTCCCCTAACAAGGAGCTTGCAGAAAAGAAGGAAGAGGAAGACGAGCAAGAAGAAGATGGTCAAGAGGATAATCCTTATGAGGACCAGAACTATAAGACTTTTATCGCAGAGGAACCAGTTGATGAACAGAAGCCAGATAATGTCTCTGAGGTCTCAAAGCGGAATAAGCTTGACAAGATCCTATCTGAGCTACATGAGGAGAGAAAGAAGCGTAAAGAGCTAGAATCTGTCGTCCAGGAGCTTCTATCTCGTAGCGGTATTAGCAAAGATCAACTAAGGCTTGACTCTTAAGTGATTTTCCCTTCATAATACAAAATATTCAATTAAAATTGAAAATGGGGTTTTGGGGTTTTGGGGTTTTGGGGTTTTGGGGTTTTGGGG